CGGCCGCCGCGGCCGCCGCCGCCGCCATGATGAGAGCTCAGAATTTGGAGAGTCCAGGGCCGGCGGCTCCTCCCGGGAGGGTGGGGGAATTGACTGCTGCGAATGCTCGGCCCGCCCAACTCTCGCGATATTCCGGAGCGGCCGCGCACCTCCGCCTGGGTCCCCGCCCCTGCACACACCCCCTGAGGTTACGGTCCCTTCTTCCCACCCCTTTCTCCTGGGCTCCGCCTGGGTTCCTTCCCACGTCTCTTGGTTCTCAACTTTCAAAGATGAAAGTCGCTGAAATAAGGCACTGACATTAAAGAAAATCTTTAGTAAAAGCAAATTTTTCCTATTTACTTAAGATTATGTATGCCTTCCGGATATATTTTAGGCACCTGCATTGTTTTGTGATGTTTATTACCGTTTGCAAAACCTAAGTTTCTGTTGACTACTATTATTGAAGCAGTCGCCTAATTATTGCCTGAATCAATTCTTACCCTCACACTATTTCCAGGTTAATCTTGTGAAGTGCATTCTTTAGAAAACTAAAAAGTATTATTGCTGTCATTCTCTTGTTCAAAATTTCTAATGGAAACCAAAATCAAATTTAAATCATCTCTCAAAACCCACCATCATTACATATCTTCCAATCTCATATTTATTTCACATGTCCATTCTTATCTGCTAATAGTATTCCAGGTTCAACATAGTAAAGAGAACAGTGGGCCTGATGACTATTTTTTGAAGATGTACTACCAAATCCTTCCTCTGGGTCCTTATCATTCCTGGTTCCTACCCTATATCTATACCCCCCCCCCTAATTTGGCAATGATTGGTCAGGTCATTTCCTTTCTTATAAAAAAAAAAAAAAAAAAAAAACCTCTTAACTTTCTTTTTAATAATATAACTGCCTTCAACTGTAAAAATGTCAGTCCCAGTGCACTAACTGGTAAATTTCTTGAAGGCAAAGAGTGAATATTCATTATCATTGCCCATAAGTGCTCAAATATTAATCAAAGTTGTTTAAGGGAACAATTACAGATGCTGGGGTTGTTGAGTAGTAGAGTGCTTGCCTGGCATGTGTGAGGCCCTGGGTTTGATCCTCAGCATTGAGTATAAATAAATAAAATAAAAGATCCGTTGAAAATTTAAAAATAAAATAAAATAAAAAGAGAACAGTAATAGATAATGCTTCTTGAATATCTAATATTTGCCAATTCCTTGTATATTATTTATTTTTTTTTTAAAGAGAGAGAGAGAGAGAGAGAGAGAGAGAGAGAGAGAGAGAGAGAATTTTAATATTTATTTATTTTTTCTTAGTTCTCGGCGGACACAACATCTTTGTTGGTATGTGGTGCTAAGGATCCAACCCGGGCCGCACGCATGCCAGGCGAGCGCGCTACCGCTTGAGCCACATCCCCAGCCCATATTATTTATTTTAAATCCTCTCAATACTCCTATGAAGTGGGTATTCTCAGAGGAAACAAAAACTTAAAGAGATGACTTATGTGCCCAAAAACACAGTAAGCAACACGTTCAGTACTATCTCCAGCTGCAACAGGGAGCAATTGATAGCAGCCCAGCAAACATTTGGTAAACCAATTTGTTGCATGAATAAGATAAGATGGAAATCTTCTGAACTTTAGTAGAAAAATTCCTAGGGTGTTTTAAACAGGGAGGAAAAGAAAATTAGGACAACTAATTTGATGATATTAAATGATGAAAAAAAAATATTTCAGTCATCGTGGTGGGGCATCCCTGTAATCCCCATGGCTCTGGAGGCTGAGGCCTGTGGATCAAAGTCAGCCTCAGCAACTTAACCAGGCACTAAGCAACTCAGTGAGACCCTGTCTCTAAAGAAAATACAAAGGGGATGCAGTGCTGGGGACTTGGCTCAGTGGTTAAACGCCCCTGAATTCATTCCCCACTACCAAAAAAAATTTCCAGAGGATTGTTAAACATTTATAATCTTGAATATGTTGCACAGACTAGTCTAGTCTGTAGAGGAGTTAATATAGGTCAAATCCTTATGCATTGTCATGCTTTTTTCTCAAAAATCTTTCTAAAGCATGAGTTGAGAAACTTACTAAAAATGTCCTGTTTCAATATTAAACAAATGAGATAATTGCAGTAAGTATAGTTTAGAGATCTTAAAGGACTGAAAGGGAGAGGAAGAGAAAGGGGGAAAAGGGAGGGAGGGAAACAGGTGCAATCAGGAACGATGAATTTATTTTCTTTCACAATTCTTTCTTTTCTTTTAAACGCTATCACTGTTGCCTGAAAAATTAGGATAATCATAATTACCTGTCAGATTTATTGTGAAACTTAAATGTGATCAGCTGGCAAAATACTTTGTACATAGTAGGAACAATATTTTATATGGTAGGAATGTCAACAATTGCCATTGTTAAGGTTACCATGCACATGGAAAAGATGTGATCTATATTTGGAAACCAGACAGAAATTTAGAAATTAATACTGTTGTGAGCATCATGTATATTTATGTGTTCAGCAGCTATCTACTTCACCCCCTTCTGGTAATAGAGATGGCTTGGGCCACCAGCTGGATTGGCCAGAGTTTTTCCCCAGAGTTTTAAGTAGAGCTGACAGAGAAAAAAAAACTTCGTCTTTGTGAAGTTCTGGGGGACCTGGCCTAGAACAAGGATTGGGAGAGGTGCATGCACAGAGGATGTTCTGGAGACAAACAGATGCTTAGTGAAAGCAAAATGGAGATGTATCTGGAATCATCTCCCCCTTGCTTTGCTTTTTATGTAATTGAATATGATCCTCTTTTTGACTTAAACTCGTTGAAGTTGGATTTTTGTCTCTTGCAACTCAGAGTTCTAATGAATACAAAAGCAACTTTGGACCTGCTTTATGTTTTCTGTTAAGGGTCTTTATTCTAATTTTGCAAGAAATTACATTATATGCCATTTGTAACTTTTATCTCCTCTGTGTGATTTATTTTAATTTGGAAAACCAACATGGAAATATTTACAAGGTTCTTCTCCATATTAATGAAATTGGAATACATACAAATATATAGTATTTAGATATTATTTTGTAGCTTTCTGTAACAGCCATGCAATGCATCATTATTTATACAGTGTCTTTAGTAGTAGCATTCTTAAATATAATTTTATGAGGTATAGCATTTAAACCAGTGCAGAGTTTTCAGTTGAATTTCAATCTGGCTTTCTTTCATGAAAATATGATCATTTTAGGAATTCCCCATGACACAGAACAATGATTTGAGGGGTTGGTAATTTAGAATAGTTTTTATGTTGCACCAATTCATTGAAAAAAAAATTTATCAGGCTTCCTGGGTCCAAATGATAGAAACCCTGGGCTGGGATTGTGGCTCAGCGGTAGAGTGCTTGCCTAGCACAGGTAAGATCGGGGGGGGGGTTCCACATAAATGTAAAATAAAGATATTGTGTTCACCTATAACTTAAGAATAAATATTTTTTTAAAAAATGATAGAAGCCCCCAAATCCTGGGAGAAGCAAAAAACTTTGAGAGCCTGTCTTACTGAATTTGGAAGTTAAAGCAGTAACATTTTTTTAACCAGGACAGAAGTTGATTATTTCATTCATTTCAAACAATAAGCAATATTTCTGATTATTTAGTGAATATTTGGTAAAGAGTGATTATTAGAAAATCACTAGTAAATAATCTCTTGGTAGTAATTATTTAGTAATATTTCTGATTATTTAGTTTTAGTGAAGTATAATATCATCTTTTAGATAATTCAGTGATTTTTCAGTAAACTTAAGTAGTTGTAACCATCACCACAATCCAAATTCAGGACATTTCCATCACCTTTTTTAAAATAATCCCTGGGGGCTGAGGTTGTGTCTCAGTGGTAGTGTGCTTGCCTAGCACACGCAGGGCCCCGGGTTCGATCCTCAACACCACATAAAAATAAATAAACAAAATAAAGTTATTTTTTAAAAAAGAGCCTAATATTAATATGCTGGAAAGAAAAAAAATCCCTGGTACTATAGTCAGTCTTTCCCTTTTCTCACCCACCAGCCCAGAAAACCACTAATCTAATTTCTATAGATTTGCTTTTTTGAACAGTTCTTGTACATGGACTCATATAGTATATATGAGTCTTTCACTTATCTATTTTTGTAGATCATCCATATTGTAGCATATATCATTATTAAGTTATTTTCTATTGTAGAATAGTAGTCTATCAGATGACTATGCAACATTTTGTTTAGCCATCTACAAGTTGATAAGCTTTTGGGTCATTTCCAATTTTTTTCAATTATGAATAAAGCTACTAGGAATATTTACCTATAAATATTAACAAAGGGCTTTTGTAAATATTCAGTCTTTATGTGGAAAGTCTTTGTACGGAAATAGACTTTAATTTATCTTGGGTGGATACCTAAGATTAGAATTGCAGGGCTCTGTGGTAAATTTATTTTTAACTTTTTAAGAAACTGCCAAACGGTTAACAAATAGTCTGTACCATTTTATATTTCCCCAGGTGATGTATAAGGGTTCCTGGGTTTCTGTAACCTTGCCAGTATTTGTTATTCTCTTTTTTTTTTTATTGCCATTCTAATGGTATGTATCTCATTGTAGTTTTAATTTGCCTTTCTTTAATAACTAATTATGCATCTTTTTATATGTTTAATAGGTGCTTATGTATTTTCTTTGGAAAAATCTATTCACATTTTTGTCATTTTTTAGTTTTTGAGTATATTT